ACTTCTGCAAATTGTAAAGTTAAAGAGATTAAAGTGACTTCTGCATTTTGTCAGGAACATTAAGAGCATAAGAAGAGTTTTTGTGACTTTCATTTTTTAAAATTCTTTGAAACTTATTTTGAAAGTTTTTTTTCAAATCCAGATACAACTTTTTTACAAATCTGAACACAATGGCTAGAAGGCAGGGAAAATATTTGCAGGGTCCCAAGTAGCTCAGACTACTGAATTTTAAGCTGGGACCTAAATTTTGTTGAAAATTTGGTAAGCGGACAGAAAGTCACAGGACAAAAAGTCACAGGTTAGAAAGTCATAAATTTGATAGGACAAAATGTCACAAATACTATGTTCATAATTGTTTGAATACATAAGAGATAGTGTTTTTGTTAAATCTTTCATATTGTGACAGGGTTGGCCCCAATATGGAAAATGATAATATTTTTCCTTTGTCTAAAAAGGTTGAAATTTTTACTGGACCTGTCTATTTTTTTACTTATCACAGCTAAGGACAAAAACAAATGCATGTATAATTTTATAGTCATATTGTGATAATAAACTTAAATCTATTCTAAATAAAGATTTATCAGTATAAAATCTGTTAGTTTAGTCTCGAGCCTCTTTAAATGTGTGTATAAAAGATAAATGCACTTAAAGTACTTCAACTTCTTATTTGTCATGTTTGTTACATAGTTCTAAAAAAAAATCAGGGGAGATTACTTGAATTTTTCTCAAATTTTTCTTCTTTTAAAATGCCTTCAACTTTATTGCATCAGAAGTCTATTACTAGGATTCTAGCTGTTTCTAATAAATGATTGATGAATCAATTGTCACTTTAGCGATCACATAAAGGACAAAAGACTTCAAAACCACAGGACAAAAGTCACAATTCAGTTTTGAGATAATTATTTCTTCAATTTATATACAACATATTTCTTATGAATATTTTTTGTATTTTTCCTTAGCTATTATATATACTATTATATATACCATAAACAAATTTGTAAACAAAAATTATTGTCAAAAATTTTATATTGATAAAATGCCTCTTAAAAAACAGGCTTGTTAAAGTGTCTTGTTAATTGAATGCCTAAATGCTGTCTTTGACTATTATAAGGGACACTATTATCTAAAAAATAATGAATAATGATAAAAAAAAAAATATTTAAATTTCTTATTTTATTAACTTTTTAATTGGGAATTTCCTCCTATCATATTTTGTGACTTCCAGTCCATTTACCTTGGCATTCACAACACATTTCATTATTTTGATATTAAATCTGACCTATTTTTCAAAACATTCTGATGCATGCGATTTTTCTATTAAAAGTGACTTAGTAAAACAAAACATTTCACTACTTTTTTCTCAAAATACATTATCTGTACATGTAAATAAATCAACCCCTGACAACAGAAAGTGACCACAGCTGTACTATTGATTTATTTCAGGTCATTGATGAAATTCAATAAACTGTAACATTCCAGCCAAGAGTTGTAAAAATTTGTTTATATCTAACAAAAGCCTTTTATCATTGGATTTAAACAAAAATAATCAAAATTTAAATCAATAATCTAGTTTCTACAAAATTCCCTTCAGCTACTGTCACGTGACTAAGTATGTAATTGTTCATCTTTCTAATCACATGACTTATTCAAACAAACCATTAAACAGAAAGTCAAGTTAAGATTCATTTCAAAACCAAGAACATTAACAAAGGCCTATTATGAACGTTTTTTTGTGTATAAACTTAATCCATTAGCAGTTAGGAAGAAAAAGTAACACATTGTTATATATGGGTTTTATCACCTGAATTGAGAATTTGATTAACAGATATGAAAACCAAAGGAGACAAAAAACAGTATCTTAAAGTACTAGTCTGAATTTATCATGATTTCAATGAAAATACTTAGGTACAATTTAAAAAATCTTATTTTCTAAAAAGTAACAAAAAATATTTTAATCATAGTATTATATCATGTATGTAAAACCCTATCAAAAAAATATTTAAGATTTCCATGTTTTATAACATAAAAAAACAAAAAAATAACAATCATACCAACACTACACTATACCCCTCCCCCTTACATGGACTTTATTGAATTTCTAGATATCATTTAATGATTTTCATTATGTTCATAATCTATATAAAAAAAACGTTTTTCAAACCTTTTAAACAATATCTGGAAAATTTCTGAGAATTTGAGAAAGACTATATGTCTGTACTGAAAAAATAGTTTTAAAAATAACAAAGAGAGCTGTATATATTTCAATCGATAGATTATATGGCCATTAAATGGAGTTACCAATCTCTTGTATGATAAGTCTCTTATTTCAAACAAGGACTTCACACCTGTCTATTTATAGTGAAATAAAGGTTCCTAAATCATAATCAAAGTAATCAAGTGGCTAGAAGTTATTTTGTATAATTTATCTTTGTTAGTAAGACTCTTTTCTACTTTAATTCTTTCTGAATGAAGAGGTCATTATGCCCTTCTAACGTTTAAAAAGCAATTAGTTTGCTATGGTAAAGAAATTTAATGTCCCTTGATGAAAAGAAAAGTTTTTCCATCATGAAAGGTATTTAACTGGATAATAATATACACAACTTATTACAAAAAATGCACTAAAGTTCTTTAAAAGATGTTACTTTTATGCAGTGGAGTTTTTTTTTTGAAATTCAAGTTGGTAACAAATAATATTCAAATCCAGTTTTTAAAGGCATAATGCAGTTTCAAATGTCGGTCGTAAAAAGTAATTTAATATCAACACTTCAGATATTACCAAACAGGAAAAACCAAGCATTTTTTAATTTTTTTTAATACTATCCACAATATTTGTGAACTACATCTACATCTATTAATCATAAAATAATATATCCATAAAATAAGTCAATAACAATTAACATTTTGTTAAAATCAATTTACATTACACCATGATGATGATGGTAGTGTTTAACGACCTTGACTGGCTTTACACCTTAAAGCAAATTCTACTTCATAAATCCCCAAAATATGTTAATATCTCTTGTTATCATCTACCTGATACCTGTGACACCTGTATTTTACCTGCCGAGCAGGAAGTCGGAATCAATACATGAAAGCGTACATGTCTATTGTAATAAACTGAAAGTGATCTTATCTATAGCCTCAGGTAAAAATTGTGACATTCCTAATCAATAATAATTTCTCAATTTTCACAATTAATATATAAACTTGATGTAGCTATATAAAATTCGATGTAAAGGGGTTACCCAGGGGGAGATAATTTAGACAAGACTTTTAAATTGGAGCAAAGATTCAAGAGGGAGTTTAAAATCTTAGACATCTTGTCAATTTTTTTTTAATCATTGCAAAAACTTTTACCCTTTTAAAATTGCTATACATAAAATTTATGAAACTATAAAATAATTAAAACATTACATTTATTTGGAATATTGGAATGGACTTTAAAAAAATCTTAAAGAAACAATTTATTTTTGAACACATTTTGCAAGAAAAGAATTTTTAAAATCTTTCAACTCCCAACTAAGACTGTTGTGCAGAATTTCATGTAAAGAGCAAATGTTGGCTCTTCCAAATATTAAATTGAATTATACAATATAAAAACTCATAAAAATACCAGGCTTAAAACACCTACACCAATTTGTATTTTTGAGGCTTGATCTTTATTAAAAGGGTAAATTTTGGACTACATTTGATAACACTATGTAATTAAACCAAGGATTTACTATCTTACTATATAAATCCTTGATAAAGCCATGGAAGTATTATATTGACTTCCATGATAAAACCAACACAATTTTAAATGTTTTCTTATTTGAGTTAATTACAGGAATAATTTGACCTTGGTATAGAATGGTACCGGCTGTGAAATGTTTGTTTTTGTGTTGACTACAGTAAATGGATGAAGCAGCTAGGCCGAAAGTGATAATCACAGGTGTTAATTTGTCAAGGAATCAAACTGAATGTTTATTCTTAGAGGAGGTCTAGAGCTTTTTTATAGAATTTTTATAGACATTTGGTTAAAATATTATGTAGCTTTTGATTGTTCTCCCCCTTTTTAACAAATATAAACTCTGGGATTTCCTGAAGTGTATTGTAAACTTAACTGAAGGTCCTCTCATTTTTTATAGAGTTCAGGAATAACAAATAATATTTAATTGGACTGAACCAATAGTGGAAGGTGATATTTGGTTTGTTTGTGTTTAAAATTAAAGAAGATTAAATTAAGAAATCAGTTTTGGCTGGAAAATAATTCAGAAAGCAGCAAAAACTTGCAAATCATGATTTTTTTAATCTGTATGGGTCACATAGGAAAAAAATTAAGTTACATTATAAGACAGTTAGGCTTAGACTTTAATTTTGCCAAAATGGTGTTTATAGGGTAAGCGGACTCTAAAAGCAGAGGCTTCAGGTACAATAGTAATAATTAACTTCAGTAAATTTCTATAATAATAATAATAATAATAATAAATTCTTTATTTAAAGAGGGTAAACACAGTTAGTTACAATTACTAATCTTCCCTGAGGCCCTCATATACAATACATGTAAAAAATAATAATCAGAGAAAAAAGCAAACAAGGTCATACTAGTTCAATGTACATGTACCATAATTAGAACATATAAAACAGTTACAGATTGCATGTAGTGAATAGATATTATATACAAATCAAAATCATACATCCTATAGTTATCAAAATATATCATCTATTAAGTTGCAGTCAAACAAGTTTTGGTACACGGTTTTTGTTTTTTTAAAATGGTTTAAAACTGACTCTGTTTAATAACAGTTTTGAAACAAATCAAAAGTTTTGATATTGGTTTGTTAAACTATTCAAAAACAACAGGAGGAAGGTTATAAATTTAGGAAACCATGTTTGTAAGCAACAAATGAAAAACCAGTTTGGAAGAACAAATAGAAAGTTTATCAAACCTACCAGAAACCAAAAACCAATTAGAGGTAACAAATACACCCTTAGTTAATACATTTGTATCTATTAATTACCTGTTGAGCATTTCTATTGTCGACAGATAAACAGTCAGCTGCAGTTGTTGTGATGGTAGCAGAAAATCTTGTTCCAGAATGTACTGCTGCTTCGTTACATAATCTGATAACTATATCTTTAGACGAGGCCTGAAATATATATTTATGTCCTGAAATCACTCTGTTCAGGTTTCAGATTAGATCGTTAGTTTTCCCTTTGAATGGTTTCACACTAGTAATTTTTTGGGACCTTTATAGCTTGCTGTTCGGTGTGAGCCAATGCTCCTTATTGAAGGCCGTACCTTGACCTATAATGGTTTACTTTTATAAATTGTAACTTGGATGGAGAGTTGTCTCATTGGCACTCATACCACATCTTTCTATATCTAATATAAATATGTCTATACGAAATTAAATTTCAGTACTACAATATTGAGAAAAAAAAAATTCTACAATGGTCACTGCCCAAATCCTAGATAATAAATCTCATGCAAACTTTTCTTTTCTACTGACGCCAAACCCAGTTTACTTCAACTATAGAAAACACAATAGCCTTAACTGTTTTCAAAATCAATACGCGTAATGCACATAAATCTATATCTTTAAAATGGGGTGTAGATTCATTGATGGGTGTTTAATTTCCAGTGGCAAATATTACACACTTATTTATGATAATGTAGAAAACTAATCAAAACTAGATATGAACTTATCATACTTATTTGTTATTACTGAAAATTCAGATACTAACATTGAATGTTACCATAGATATAAGAAGATGTGGTATGAGTGCCAATGAGACAACTCTCCATCCAAGTCACAATTTATAAAAGTAAACCATTATAGGTCAAAGTACGGTCTTCAACACGGAGCCTTGGCTCACTCTGCACAGCAAGCTATAAAGGGCCCCAAAAATTACTAGTGTAAAACCATTCAAACGGGAAAACCAATGGTCTAATCTATATAAAAAACGAGAAACGAGAAACACTTATGAACCACATCAACAAAAGTAAAAGTGTGAGTGGTTCATTTTTTCATGTTAATTTAAACATAACAATACTGAATTCTATCAGTTGTTACAATAAACAAAAATTTAAAACTTTTCGTTCCATTTGGTAATTAAGGTGGACTTTAGAAGGAAGAATCTAACAGTACAAAAGATTGTCAATTTCTGCTTTAGATATTCCTAGGGAAAATATTTTTTAGTTGATTTCTTTAGTTTTCTTTGTAATTATTTTTAGTAGATCATCATCTCATGACAGCTTTATTAACAATGGTTTACAAGCCTCTGGCTTAAAACATAATAACTTGTATAACTTATCATTTTACTTACAAATGTATATCTTTGTTTGTAAAAAAATAACCTTAAGGAAATTAGTGTTTCTCCCATACATTTTTAAGAGAGAAATAATCATTTATGACAACTTCATTTCCTTAATTTAAATACCCTGTAAATTTTAACAAACTATTTTGATGCAGATCAGTCCTCTGAAAAACTGATAATCATAGCCTAAAATGTCATAAAGTAATGTTATTTCATAAGATGGGACCAAAACTGTGATTTTCTTCTTTAAACCGACCTGATTAAATTATTAATGAACCACAGATCACCACAGATCAGGTGGAAATCATCATTCAACCTGGCCACTCAAATTTAACATCAAGATTTTGACCAATATTGAACTCAAAAGCTTAACATTATCAATATTCCAAGGTATTGTATGTTTAATTCTTATTCTGGCAGAAAAGAAGTGACATGTCCACTCTGCTTCCATAGCATGGGAACAGGGATCAGCTATAAGAATTTCAGACTGTTGTGTCAACCCCACCATGGACAAGTGGGAGAAGACTTTATAAGTTTGATTAACTTGTGTCTCATCCCTTTTGTATATCTAAGCAAATATACAAATGTTTAAACTAATCATGAACAAGTGGAAGAGACATTTTCTACAGAAGATGTAGCATATGTTAACTTAAAATTGTGCTTTCTGTTTGCAGTTATCATGATATTAATAACAAAATTTATATTTCAACTAAGAGTGTAAGGTGGTTATTTATGTAAGAATATATTGTCCAACCTGACAGACCATCACAAATAAACTACAAAGATGTAAACTCTCTACAGATTTGATAGTTAGTCTCCAAATGATTGGTAGTCCATTGTTCAGTGTAGAATAGTGTTTAGAATAAACAGCATACTTTATTTTCAATCAAGGACAAGCACCCTAAAAGGGGCAAAAGAACATATTTCTTGGCCATCCTATTTGATTGCAATAGCCAATGACAGCATTGGGTGCATCGAGTTCAACATCAAAGTCATCAAAGTACAACTAGCTCCTCAATGAAATTAACCTACATGTATGCAGACAGACTTTGACATGCTTTGTCTCAGGACAGAAGCAGACAACTATTGTCAGTATTGAACAGGCCAGGAATAACCACCAATTGATGGATTATACCTCAATTGACGTATAATCCACCAATTGACATATATTGGTATAGACCAATTGACGTATAATGCAAGTTTTTTGTTTTAAAATGCCAGTGTGAGATAGGAGCATCATTTTGCAACTTACAACCTATTTTATGACCATTATTGAGTCCTCCGAAAGTTTCAGTTTTGTCAAAGCCTGCTGCATCTCTTGAGAATGCATGTGTACAACAATTCTTTTGTTGAAACATCTGTACTATTGACCATTATTGACAACATGATTGACTTTTAATAATGAAAGTCAAGTATTAACAAAGAGCTCCATTCACCTGTGGAGTTGTACTCATAATCACATGACTGCAGACAGTATTGATGTCCATTGATCGGTGATTAGTGGTAAATTTGCCAATCAATAATTGACAAGATAACAATAGAGGAAACTGCAAATACATTTATTGATTAAATGCAATAGGTTATGTCACTATACTAAATTAGTAATGTTTGACATGTTTTCATACAATAATATGGTTTTACGAAAATAATGCTCCATTTTGGTTGAATAATTTGCTTTGAAAAACAAAGAATTATACGTCAATTGGTCTATACCATTATATGTCAATTGGTGGATTATACATCAATTGAGGTATAATCCACCAATTGGTGGTTATTCCTGACCTGTTGAACTAAAAATGTGATGCTTACAGGTAGTTAATTCGTATGATTGTGAATGTTAAACCGTTATAGATACAAAAAAAATAAGAACTTAGTTATCAAAAAACTTATTATGCTTCTATGTTGTAAAACTATATAAAATAAAAGATAATAAACCTTCAATAAAACATTCAGAGAATCAAAGTTACAGTAGGCTGCCATTTTCAGATCACGTGAGTATATTTTATTCCTAATTATAATACACCAATCAGATTGCAGAATTATTGTCCAATCAAACGACCTTATTTGCCACGTGCGTTTTGCGCTCAAAGATAGTCGCTTGATCCGGCGGGAAGTTCAGTCGTCTGCATACCGGCGTTTAAAAAAGCAGGAAGCTGTGTTTATTAATTCTTAGTCAAAACACCAATTAAAAGATACAAAAATGCCCGTAGAAAAGTAAGTAAACATAAAAACTATTTGTTAGCATTAGTTTATGTTGTTTTAGAAGAGAAAATCTGTGCGATTCGTTGCGGTAAACACCAAACAAGGAAATTTCTTTGTTCTATGTTTTAGCGTTTTTTCGGTAAAACCGAACAAAGGAAACATGAACTTGTTTACCTTTGTTAATATCGTTAGATAAATAAAATGTTTTAAGGTTCTTTATAAAACCTGTAATATTGCACTAACTGTAATTATTCTTGTCTTGTGAGATAGCAAGAAGAATGATAATTTATGAATGACGTAAAGTTGAAAGATGCCGCCATGATTTTGGTTTTACCGAGTAAACTTAATTTGCATTTTACATGATTAATTTTCGTAATTTATGCTGCTTCCGGAGTTTACAAATGTAAAATGATTGGTTGTATATCAACCAATGTGACATGTTCCTTTGTTTTGATTTTTTGCAACGACTTTGTGAAGAAAAAAGGGGGATGGGCAAATAGTCGGATTTTCATTTTCGGTTTGTGTGTGGGACCATTATTCAATCTGTTAATTGAATAGTCCAAGGTTGTGTAGATGTTTAATTTTGATTTAACTTTTTATGTCTGAATGAACATGCAGTTTAATTTTTAAATTTAACTGAACTACATGTAGCAAGAGATTTTTAATTGCATACTTTATTCTTTTTAGGGAAACAGCAGTTGAGACCACTGAGGTTGAAACCAAAGAGACAAAAGAAGTCAAAGAGGTGGAAGAGGTAATATAATTTATAATTAAATCTTTAATAAGAAGTTCTCACAAATTAATACTCAAATGCACCAGTCAAAAAGGGGGTGACTTAATTTGAATGGAATAGCTTAATTAAATTGAATTAGTTGAAAAATTGACAGGTAGAGTGCAACCTCCAAATGCACTTTAATTTTTAGTCAGAGATGAGAATTTCACTCTTAAATGTTGTATAGCCATGAGGTATCTTATCTTTTTTGTTGGATTTCTCTAAAATATGCTCAACTTATTTTGACCTTTTGGAGCATAAGGGAGTTGAATTAAGTTTAAACACTGAGTTCAATTATTTTGTTTTGAAAATTTTAGTGCTGCATCTCATCAGTGCAAAGCTGCTGCACCATTTGTTTATCTTGTTTGTGGAATCATAATTAATTTCTTTGTAAATGAGGGGTAAAGAATTGAGGATTTACACCATTCATTGGGTAATGAGCATCATTATCACTACATGTTATTCTGAAGGGGTAACTGGAGATAGGTTTCCAATGACATAATTTTGAGTTTTGAGTTACTTCCCTTGATCTCATTTGGAGGTTTATTTCCGTATTTGACTAACAAAATTGAAACATGAAGAGATCCTAACTAGATTGTGGCGATAAATTATGAAAGACTAAAAGAAATAAAAGTGTTAAAAAAAATCCTTCTTCGATAGTCGAACAGAGAGTATAACAAGTTGAATTAGGCTATGTTGTGAACAATTTTGCCGCACTTGGACCTCTACAAGGGCATTAAAAGGGAATTAACTTTTGCTCAAATTATGTTAATCAAAATCTTTCTATATAATTTTCATCTAAGCTTGTGTGTAATACACACACCTATGTAGTTTGCCTTGGGCTGAAGAGAAAAAAGTTCATTAACATTTACCTTGATACTGTGGGTTGTCATATAATGTTAAAGTATTGAAGTAGAATGACCAACACATTAAAATCATGATACAATAGTAAAGAGAATAAAAAAGAGTTAATAATGAATAAAAAGACATTAAATGGAAAATTTATAAAACCTGTATCCTTAAAATTGTACAATATATTTTTTTCTCATTTATTGATATTTATATAATTTAGAGTTGTCTCTCTTTATACACAGCAGACTTATCTATACTCCAGTCAGTATGCATTTTCTATGAAAGATGTGCAAATACATGTAAGCCCTTTGATAAGATTTTTTTTTAAACTATTGCAGCTGAGCTCAATAAAAAAAGATTGGGTGCTGCACACTTTGAAAATGTTCTGTATATAAAGTTCTGACATATTACTTGTAAACCTTTTATTTCTCACTTCAGACCCCAAAGACTGAAACAACAGAGACAAACGAGGCTGAAAGCACAGAAGAGACAAAAAAAGAAGAATCTCAAGAAAATGGCAAAAATACAAATCAAAATGCCTCAGAGGAAACAGAAAAAACAGGTAAAAAATATTTTAATTGCCGAGTTGCTGATTATAGAGCCTGATAAAGCCTTAAAAGGTCCATTTCAACACTAGCAATTCTATTCTGATCTGATCTGACTGGAAAATTGAAAAATTTGACATACCATTGTAGAAAATTATAATTACGACACATCTAACAAATTTAAACAAATATTTTCGATACATCATTCCACATATTCTTTATTATAATATGATTATGATCTAAGATCACTGTCCATATAATGCTAATTTGATTATTGTAATTGTTAAGAATAAATTAACTGATTTATTGACCTAGTGAGCAATACTAAAATTCAGACCATGCAAGTGACAAATTTGTGCCATGGGAAAGATTCTTAGTTTAAATCATATATTGAACTGACAGTTGTCTTTTTATATTATTAATGAGAAACATTCAGTTATAGAATATAATATTTTTGTATCTACATGAAAGAACTTTGCATTTTGTAAAGAAATCTTGGGTCAACTTTGATGTCTATGTGTGATACCAGATACTGTTTACCATTTCATTTTTGTCATAGACATAAATATAAGAATAAGATGTGTGATTGGTAGGGAGACAGATATCCATTAGAGTTCAAAGATGTGTAAGTAATAAAAGGTTACCATACAGCCTGCAACAATGAGGGGGAATACCCTTACCATATAGTCCGCTACAAAAGGCTTGGTATGTACCAAAAAATGACATGAACCAATGACATACACTGAATAACAGGCTCCTGGCTACAGACAAGTACTTAGAGAATATTTGTAAGAGTACATATTTTGTATAACAATTACATCCAAGTTATCTCATATTCAATGTTTTTTGTTTCAATTGCAGAAGAAAATACATCTGAAAAAAGATCTGTAGAGGAGGATTCAGAGGAAACAAGTCCAACTAAAAAAGTGAAAACTGATGAAAAAAAAGTAGAATCAAATGACAATGAACAGAAAGTAGAGGCAGCTTCAGCATAAAGACATTTCAAATGTTCATCAAACTTTGTGTCATATCATGAGCTGTATAGATCTTTTATTATCATGTTGTCTCATTGTTTTACCACTATGTGTTAATATTTATGGATCAGTGCAAAAATTGTTTCAGTCATTGTTAGTTTTTACCTACATCCATTAAATCATTTATAGTAACATTGGTTTTGGTGTGTTTTTTTTGTGTGATCATTTTTATTGAGCAGGGTTACCCTTTTTAACATTTGAATATAGGAATCCATGTCAAAATTTTTGTTGTCAACTGTAAACAGTAATTGTATCTGTATTGATCAGACTATTAGTTCCAGTGGTCGTTGAACTTGAACTTCATATGTATAACAATTGTTTATGCCTAAAATAATAGCAGCACTGAAGACTGAGGTTCTTGTAGCTTTCAATATTTTTGTTAATTGCTGGTCTTTTGTTGTGTATACTTTGTCTTATTTGGTTTGGTCAAACTATAACTTAGAATTAGCATTTCTATTTTCTACAACCTTCATCTGTGGTATCATCTTATTGTTGCCTTGTGTGTACCAAATAATACAAAGCAGGGTATCTACATACAACAAACATTTTAACAATACTCCTGTGTATACCTGTAATGTTTGCCCCTGGACATAGAGCAGCCATCAATTGACGTAGTTTATAGGTAAAGAATGTCTGTATATCTGGAAAGGTGATAAATTTGCCATCTGGTTGTAAGGCAGATGTGTTCATGAATTTGTCCCATTTTAAGCTCCCCTAAAAGGCCAGTATGAGCTTATCCCATCAGCACTTGCCTTTATTCTTGTCAGTTGACTCCTTTTTATACGACCGCAAAAATTAAAAATTTTCTGGTCGTATATTGGTATGACGTTGGCGGCGTCGTCCGAAGACACATTGGTTTTCGCACTCTAACTTTAGTTTAAGTGAATGGATCTCCATGAAATTTTACCATAAGGTTCAATACCACGAAAGGAAGGTTGGGATTGATTTTGGGGGTTATGGTACCAACAGTTAAGCAAAAAGGGGCCAAAAATAAGCATTTTTGTAACTTCCAGACAATAACTTGTGTGTAAGTGTATGGATCTCTCTGACATTGTACCACAAGGTTCCATATCACAAAGGGAGGCTGTAATTGATTTTGGGGGTAATTGCCTCAAAATTTTAGGAATTGGGGGCCAAAAAAGGGGCAAAAAACAAGCATTTTTCTAGTTTCATGACAATAACTTGTGTGTAAGTGTTTAGATATTTCTGAAATTGTACTATAAGGTTCCATATCACAAAGGGAAAGCTGGAATTGAGTTTGTGGGTAATTGCCTGAAACATTTAGGAATTGGGGGCCAAAAATAAGCATTTTTCTAGTTTCCAGACAATAACTTGTGTTCAAGTGTATGGATCTCTCGTAAATTGTACTGCAAGGTACCATACCACAAAGGGAAGGCTGGGATTGAGTTTGGGGGTGATGAATCATAAGGGTGGTTCAAAAAATTTGGGGGGGGGTTGGGGGGTTTTCTTTTTTTTTACTTTTTTTCCTTTTATTTTTCTTTTAAAATTTTCCATTTTAAGTTGGTTATTGCTGATTAATATTTAAAAGCAAATAATAATGATATGGTAGGAGATACACACCAAACAGGATGTGTAAATTATTATATAATAAGTATTGTGCAATAGCAAGAAATTTTCAATTGCACAGTATTGCACAATTGCAAGAAATCTTCAATTACACAGTATTGCGCAATAGCAAGAAATCTTCAATTGCACAGTATTGCGCAATAGCAAGAAATATCCAATAGCACAATATTGCGCAATAGCAGGAAATTGTCAATTGTACAGTATTGCACAATAGCAAGAAATATTCAATTGCACAGTATTGTGCAAAAGAAGATACTTTGTATAAATTGCTTATTTCTTGATCAATTTCAATGGGGTTTTATTCTTGAATTCTTGGGGTTCTTTAATATGCTGAATCTAACCGTGTATTAAGTTTTTGGATTTTGGGCCCCGTTTTTAAATTGGTCCACACTGAGGTCCAAAGGGTCCAAAATTTAACTTTGTTTGATTTCATCAAAAATTGAATTATTGGGGTTCTTTGATATGCCGAATCTAACCGTGTATTTAGATTCTTAATTTTTGGTTCCGTTTTCAAATTGGTCTACATTAAGGTCAAAAGGGTCCAAAATTAAACTTTGTTTGATTTCATCAAAAATTGAATTATTGGGGTTCTTTGATATGCCAAATCTAACCGTGTTTTTAGATTTTTAATTTTGGGTCCCGTTTTTTAAATTGGTCTACATTAAGGTCCAAATTAAACTTAGTTTGATTTTAACAAAAATTGAATTCTTGGGGTACTTTGATATGCTGAATCTAAACGTGTTTAGATTTTTGATTATTGGACCAGTTTTCAAGTTTGTCCAAGTTTGGGTCCAAAATTAAACTTTGTTTGATTTCAACAAAAATTGAATATATGGGGTTCTTTGATATACTGAATCTAAACATGTATTTTGATTTTGGACATTGGACCATAATAGGTAAATTAAAAAAATTGAAGTTCTTAGATCACATTCTTTCTGTGTCAGAAACCTATGCTGTGTCAAATATTTAATCACAATCCAAATTCAGAGCTGGATCAAGCTTGAATGTTGTGTCCATACTTGCCCCAACTGTTCAGGGTTCGACCTCTGCGGTCGTATCAAGCTGCGCCCAGCGAAGCATTTTATTAAAGTTGTTGTCCTTTAATGGTGATGGCCATTTTTTGGTATTGCCTATTATCTTTGAAACTAATAGACTGATAGAACTTTGACAAGCAAAAATGATCAGCAATACAAAATTTACAAACAAGTCAATATTGCTGTCAGAAATTGTTGGTCAACTCTTTGCAGGAGTGACCTTGAATGGCAGTTTTTACCAATATTTTGTATTTTTGTTAACCTCAAAATATAAACTATAACGAATAGAGTGTTAAATAGCAAAAAAGAGCATCAAGACAAGTCAACATAGCCAAAATCTTATAATAAATAGAAACTTTAACTAGCAAATAGGTCTGATTAAATGAAATTGTCAGTGTAACAGGTATGATTGCCCTTGAATGACAATTTTTACATTCATGTGCCCACAGTGCCAAGTGAGCTTTTCTCATCACTTGGCGTCCTTCATCGTTATTTTTTACAAAAATCTCTGAAACTACTGGGCTAAATTTAACCAAACTTGGCCACAATCATCATTAGGGTATCTAGTTTTAAAAATGTGTCTGGTGACCTTGCCTACCAGCCAAGATGGTCGACATGGCTAAAGAAAAGAACATGGTGTAAAATGCAAGTTTGTCTATTATTTTGAAACCGTTAGAGAAAATCTGCCAGGGGCCAGAATGTTTAGCTTTACCATTTGTTGGACAATTTCTTGTAGAAGTTGTTACCCTTAAATTACAAATTTTACCATTTTTTTCCTTTTTTTGCCTAATCTTGAAGACTATAATAGATAAAGAGAAATTTTAAATTGCAAAAATGATCAGCAAGACAAGTTCTACAAATAAGTTTTGTGGTCGAAATCGTCAGTTAACTCCTTATTAGAGTTATTGCCCTTTGATGACGATTTTCACCAATTATTTGCTTTTTTGCCATGTATTTTAAAAATTAAAATAGATAGAAACCTAAATAAGTAAAAATGATCAACAAGCCGATATAAAGAAAATTGTCTGACGACTCCTTATTGGAGTTATTGCCCTTTAAAGATGATTTCAACATTTTTTGCGTTTTGTCATATATGATAAAAAAATTTAATAGATAAATAGACACTTTATATCACAAAAAATGATTAGCAAGATCTACTAACAAGTCAAATATTGCAATGATAGTTAGTTACTATATATACAGACTGTTACTCTTTGTAGGAGTGATTGCCCATATTTTTTTTACAATCTTTTGTGTTTTGAGCAAAAAATAAAGAAGATGGAGAGAAACTAAACACTAAATGATCAGCAATACCAGATCAACAAAACAGATTTTTGTCACGAAGTCTATTCTCGTCTACAATGTTGGATAGTGTCCTTCGTTGAAAATGCACATAGACCATGGTGAGCGACACAGGTTCTTTAGAGCCTCGATCTAGTTTGTGTTTTGGCAAAAACCATTGAAGATGGAGAAAATCAATCAACTAGATTTAAGTCACGAACTAAATTCTAGTCTACAATATTGGAGTTCCATTCTTGAACATGCACATAAACAAAGGTGAGCGACATGGGCTCTGAATATAAAAAGCATATGTGGTATGATTGCCAATGAAACAACTCTCCACAAGAGACCAAATAACAACTATAGGCCACCGTACGGCCTTCAACAATGAGCAAAGCCCATACCGCATAGTCAGCTATAAAAGGCCCCGAAATGACAAATGTAAAACAATTCAAACGAGAAAACTAACGGCCTAATTTATGTACAAAATAATGAACGAAAAACAAATATGTTACACAGCAACAAACGACACCCACTGACTACAGTGTCCAGTTTTCTAAGCCATGTAATGTTCATGACATCACCAGAATTTACTTCGGACAATATCATTGCCAATAGTGCAGTATCAACTGTTCTCCAATTTTGAAGCACCCAACTACTATCCAAAATGAGGAGATGCCATGGTATGTTTGCTGATAAGATGTATCCACTAAAGTTCAAATAAAATGTATTGGTCACCGTTGGGTGTTAATGAAAAAAAAGTGACCAGCTGGGGGTTATCTAACCTTGACCACAATACACAGATCATTTTTCATGTTAAGTTTAAGTGAAAGTCGTAGTAAAATCTTAATATCATAAAGACTCCATGAATTCAATCATGATCAATACAGCAGACGAGCCATTCTTGTTTTGGAAGGAGTTTTTTTTGTTTGCTTCAGATTTCTCTTTGTTTTGTCATCCAATAGCCATACGTGCTGGAAATGGCGCTTAAAACCAAAATTCAGTCAATCCGAACTACCCCTACAAATGTTTCAACTTTTAAATTGCTAATTTCCAGTACAGACCACCGAAGGTTTTTAAATTGCATTTTGTTTGTTATTTGCAATGATAGAATATAACGTATTATAGCGAGACCTGGGACTAAAGATACCAAACGGACATTCAAACTATTAATTTGATGATAAACTGACAAGGTCATGGCAAAAAAGGAGATCTATATAACATTTTTCTAG